ATTTTCTGTTTTGTTTCATTCTTGGATCGGGCTTTAAAGGGTTAAATGTGAAAATGTACAAACAAGCAGCTGCTCATGTTCATCAGCGCAAAAATTATGACAATTTGTTTAACTACATAAACAGTAAATGTACCTCTTAATGTTTAATACAGTCATGAATAATGAAAAACGTGCTTTTACTGTGAAGACGGTGTGTTCAGAATCAGTTGGCTTCTACATATAAAGTATAAGTCCCATTTTGGTCTCATCAGGTTATTGCACAGTAATAGCTGTCCCATGAATCCCTACACACTCTTCCTGTAGAGATAGCATGGCACACTTTTACTTGCTCAGTTCATTCAGGTAGATTAGAACAGAGAAAAAATTCTGACTACTCTGTAAGATGTTCAACACTACTGTAGTGAGAAAAAAGTATTCAACTATTCACCCCAGTCAAATAAATGGAGGTCGATGGATTTCACCCAGTGGGGACTTTATTTTATCTTTGCAAAGAAAGAAAAGATCAGCATACGGCCCTTAGTGCATAGTAATCAATAATGGAAAGTAGCCAGAGTCAAAACAAATTACAGAAACTTTGGTTAAGCAGTAACATGTTATGATTAAACCTTGGGAAAGAATCTGGCTTGTTATGGGAAGAAGTATGTCTTGTCTACAAACACCCTTCGCTCAAGCATTGTGTGGCCTTACAGGTGAAGACTGAGTGGAAAAACGTTTTTAGTGAGTAAATACAGACATACCAAGTCTCCCGGAAGTTCCGTGAGTCTCCCTGATATAAATAGTTGTTCACAGATGCCCGCGAGTCGGATAAATTATCCCGGATTTTAGAAAATGGGAGGTGGGGTTTTTTAATGGAGCGGGCAATTAAAGAAAAACTGTTAAATTCATCTGTAAAAATTAGAGCATTTTTTTTATTTATTGCGAAAAACAAAAACTTTTAGCAGAAGAAAACTGGGATCCTATCTCAGTACCACTGAAGCTATCACCTTATTGTTTTTGAATAATTAGAAAAACAGAATTTGTAAAGAAAAAGGATTAAATAGATCCAAAGGACCCATCAGTAACAATGCTTGTTCCAGCGCATATCATCATCCGATTAGTATTATGTCTTCAGTACAGGGGCCATAACAGGGGCCAGGACATGATCTACAGGGGCACTGGCCCCCGTTGGCCCTCTATCTAGCACCAGCCATGGTGAGAAATGATGACACCATGGCGAGGTGCACCGTATGCTGAAGTCCCATGAAAAACAGAAAGCACAACCAATGTTCAAGGCTACAAGATTGAAAGTATTGAAAATGTAAAATAAAAGACTGATACTGTTCTGTTTTGTGTTTAAGAAATTACTGTTAGTTAATAAACAGTTGTTGAAAAGTTGATGGCCTTAAGTGTGTATGTGTGGGGTATGGTGCGGGTCTGTAAATAGCATAAATCAATATATGAAATAAGAAAAATCTAATTTTTTTCTGACCACAGCTACCAAATCTCTCAGCTGGATTCATATGAAGATTAAATGACAGAACTGGGATTTGATTGGTTGCACCAGATTGTATTGAGGGGCATCAGAGTAAAGGGACATGAGTGCCACTGACTTTACAGGCAAATATAGACGATGGGTGGACGAACAAATGGATGGATGGTATATACTGTCATTTTTTTTATTTCAAGGTTGGTGTAGGCCAACCAAAAAAAAAAAAAAAGCTGTTAATATGTAGGAGTTTTTTTACGCTAATGTAATAAATGATGGATAATTTGGTGGTAATAGCTGTAATGCACTCTGGGTATATTTTTGCCTCATAAGCCGAACAGCTGCCCTCCTGTCCTGCTTGCGCCAGTCCAATGTATATTTGTTAGCATCAAAAAACATGAGACTGTGTTAATCTCATATTTTGAACATTATGGAGAAGGATAGGACAGGTAAGGAGGGACAGAGGAAAGACAATGGTGCAGCAACCACCAAAATAAACCATAAAGCAGTGAGCACGACTGGGTTAAAAATAGGTCTTTGGACAAAACTATTCTCAACCTCTTGAATTCCAAAGACTGGAGTCCAAACCTTTGCTTTTAACATCTATAAACAGGATAAATATTAATTCATTTCAGGGCTAGCATGTATTTCAGGGTATAACTTTGGGGGTTGCTTTTTGCTCCTTTTATATTGGATTTTTATTTTAAGCTTACTGTTGAGTAATCTTAAAAAAAAAAGATATTTTTAACCTTTTTTCATTAAAAACATTTAGTTTTTATACTACAAATAAAGCAATCCATTTTAAAACCAGTTTCCAAAGCTGAATCTCAACCCCATTGCTTCATCATAATGTAAGATTACTCCACATCTACCGATCAGGCCAAGATTAAATTGACCTTCCATGGAGGACAAGAGCAGAACCTAAATGATCCCTTGTTAAGACTCCAGTCTGTGTGGTCTGTGTGTTTGTGTGTTGGTCTCCCTTTCTCCACCAGGCGGCGCCTGGTTCTGATTCACCTCCTCACACACCTGCAAGGGGTTACGTCGTTAACGGAATGTTATTAAGCTGCTGACTGCCACTACCTCGACACTAGAGTGTTTGCCAGTTCGGGGTACTCTAGCCAAGCTGAGTTTTGCTGAGTCAAACTGAGTTTTTGTCAACCTGAGTCTTAAGATTGTTTTTTGTATTTGCCTCTCGGCTAGAAAACCATCCTGC